CAAAATCTATACCAGATCCACATTTTAAAGCTACATTTTTTTCTGAATGCCTTTTAAAGATGAAAACTCTGTCAGACTGATTTAATTGATTAAGCTATATTTTAGTATTTCACCTGTATTCCCAAAACCCATCATCCTTCCAATGAAATACAGCTACCTCATGTAGGGCTCCAGCTTCAAACTCTCGGCTGCCGTGTCTAAAAAGAGACAAGAATTAGAACAAAAAAATATGTATGATATATATACAGATACACAAATGTATCTGCTGTCCTAGGGAGCTGCTGAAAAATTCAAGGTAGAGAAAGTTTGCTTTCAAGAGGAAGGCTGCAGAGTCTGGATTCAAGAGCAAACTGGAAAGGACCTCTAGTGGGCCGAGGCTGTGCTGCTCGGGTGCTAGACATGTCCTTCCCCTTCACCTCCCTGCAGGTGCACAACTTGCCAGCAAAGCCCAATAGCTTTACCTTGTGACTGCCATCAGAAAAGGCACCTAGAAGTGCAACTACAGCTTCTGTGAGAGACTGAAATGCTAAAGGTTAATGACTGAAACAAGATCAGAAATATTCTCGCATTCTGTTCCTGGTGCTTGGAGGGACACACTGTCATTTGCTTCAGAAAAACACACGAGATGGTTTATATTTTACTCTGTAGGTCACTAGCATGTCAGACCCCTTCAGAGTAGTTTTATGTGGCCTAAATGACATGACATTCAAAGATGCACAAATTCAGATGCACATTTGAAATGAGGATTCAGAATATTATTCAGACTATGTCATGGCATTTTGTTCTTCCAAGACTTTTTAGCTGTAGGCAGTTTTGCACAGGCAGCAGAAACACAATTTTAACTGCATTTTTGAAGTAACTTTCTAGTGAAAGAGCTTGGAATTCTTTATCTGAGCTCAAACAAAGCATAACTTCATGTGACACTATGTGACAAAGGGATTAGGGAATGTATTCAGGAGAATACACAGATAATAAATCAGGCCAGATTAAGGAAGGTTATTTATTAGGCATCCCAGTTAAAAAGAAAATATCTTGTTTTGAATTGAAGTTGATGATTCACCTCTACATCTTTAAAATACCTCTCTTCCTATATTTAGGTTTGCCTTCAAGTCAGACTAGTTCTATCATTCCCCAAAGTAGACTAATTTACATCTTCAACGTTACAGGTCATAGCTTAGCTCTCTTTTAAATGACCTAAGCAATAACCTCTCTTTCAGCAGTTACCCTCAAAGAGTTTGCATTAACTTGAGAGGGACCACAAATTAAAGCTGACATTAAGGAAGGCAATGCAAGACAGCTGCTCATTATTCAAAAATAGTATCACCTATACTGCAGTGGTGCTCCTAGTGCCATTAAGCAGAGTGCTGGATAGGAAGCAAACCTTGTGCAGAGTGGCTGTCTGAAGAGAACAGCCCTGGTACTTGAATAGTTCAAGGCCACAAGAATGCACCTGTTTCTGTCCTTCACATGGAGCAGCAACAGCACTGCCCTGCCATCAGTGAATAGCATTCCTGAGAGTCACTTGACACAAGCATTCACAGAGAAAATAGGAGATAAAATAAAAACACCAGCAAGTTCATATCTCATCATCAGAGACCTGATCAAAGAAGAACCAAGGCTTCTTAACCTTCATCTTTCTGGACCAACCATCATAAACTAGGACCACCTCTGCTATCAGAAAAACATAACTTACTTTGAAAGGTACTGGTGATGCCATGAAGTCTAACTGTGCTTCCCTCCTCTGTAGAAAACAGTAATCAAAGCAGGAAAAGAAAGCACTCATCTGTCCTGAAGGGTTCTGTGAGTTATTTTACAGTAAGAGTGTGTACAGTGGAAATAGCCCGAAAAGATATCTCTATAATAAAAAGAATAAGGAATTGAAGCTGATGAGGATCAGTTAAAGGTAAGGATTAAAAATACAACATCTCGTGAAAACATTCCTGAACACCTTTAAGTCAAGGAATTAATTTCTCAGGAATTAATGTCTTGAATCCAAACTGCTTTATGATATAAACAACAGCAATGAAAAAAAGAGTTGAACTCTAAAAAGAAATTACAGGAAACCTCTGCTGAATGAGATGGAACACAGGATATGAAGGAGATGCAGGCATTAAAGTGATTTCAGGTGCAATTAAAATCCCTTGTAAAGAGATAATGGGGAAGAAATTAAAATTACTTGTGTGCTTTGCTTTTATGTCACTGTACCAAATTTTGCCAGCAGCATGAAGGAAAAACAAAGCAAGTCTTAAAACAGGCCAGCTTACATAAGAGGGAAAGACAGAAGACAAAAATATTTATGCTGCGTTCCTTTTTTCTGATAACAAACTTGATAACTTGCTTGGACTCACTTTAAAATTGTTAAACCATTGCAACCACGAAACTGGCAACTGTTCCTCCAGATAACTGCTTTTAATAACATCACTCTCTCATTTACTTTTCACTCTTTCATTAGTTCTACAGCCAAGCACTGCTCACCTGGCAAATAAAGATCAAAATGTCATTTTGAAATGGCAGAATTTGTGAATTTATGCATTTGTGTCCAATGTTTATCCACTTAGTTCCTTCCTGTGTCTTTCCAATGAGAAGAGTTTTGAGTTACTGTGAAGACAGCTGCAATAACAAGTTTTTTATTATTACTACTCTGACCAGGACTAATGTTCTGGAAAAAAAAATTCAAACAGATCTCTAAGTATTTGTAACAGCCTCTTAAAATTCAACTACCTTCTGCAGAAAACACTACACGAGAATTCAGGTACAGTAACAAATTTTAAACTACTAAATTTTGCATTGTGGTAAGATTATTAATTAGAAGATACTTATTCTTTCATCCAGCAAAATCCCTGTATGCTGCAATGTCTTTCAAAAGTATGTTTTTATCTTCCACAATGAGCAGAGAAGCATCATACTACAATATCTCTTTCTTACATTTCCTGTGTCCAAAAATCACTCATTTTGCCTCCTTTCCACTAATTGGGGAACTCCCCAGAGTAAAGCAAGCAGGAAATGTTTGTATCAATATCTCTAAATTGAAGTACATGCAGCCCTAGGTTTTCACAAGATAATCCACTGGAGGGCAGGATGGAAATTACATATAAATAATTTAATTTATTAATAAATTATTAATGGTTTTAATTATTTAATAAAGTAATATTTTAAGTAGCGTTTATCTTTATCTCATCCTTTGTAAAATTTCTATTGTACATATTTTATAGTTTGAATATTAGAACATAATATATCTATAATTTATAAATAAATAAGTATACTGGGGGCTGCATGCTCAAAAAAGACTTTACTGATCCATAACATTTGTGAATCACTGGTTTATGACTTCATCACCAAGAAACTAAACTAACTTTTCCTCCTTTACTAGAAGGAGGTAGAAATACTGGTAGGGAGAGCTGCATGCAGGGGACAGGTCTCAAGTGGGCTGCATTTTTCACTTATTCAGCTGCAAGTTTAATGCAGCAAATGATTTTCCAGAAAGAGTTAAGTGCTTCAGCTCACACTATATCTAGTAGCTGAACAACCTTGAAATTCCCACAGGATCCTAACTGGTGTCTGGAGGCCGCCAAAGGCCATTCAAAATCTTATTCCAGATGATTTAGGTTCAGGTCCACTGATCTTCAAAGAGATTTAAAATTATAAATATATAAAATACAGTTTCAGCAATAACTTGTGCCACTGCATCACTTGGCCAGTTTTCTAATGCAGACATAGGAAGTCATCCTATTTTTATATAAATTCTTTTTAAACATTCAGCAGCAAAACACCCCTGGTAGTCACTCTACACCCTTTTTGTTGTTGTATAAAAACACCTACTGAAATACTCCATGTCTGTAATACCTACAGATAAGGTACCAAGTAAGCGAAACACTGAAGTTACTAAAATTCGTGGAAAATTTTATTTAGTGGGTATGCTCTATTAAGAAATAGTGAAGGAAAGCAAACCAAGCTGTCAAGACTCACTCTTTAAAAATCGTTATCCTGACTAATGGCTTCCTTCTACCATTTCTGTTTCAGTGAGGGTGACATCAAGCACTTAATGCAAGAACTACAGATTTTGAGATAAATTCTTTTACTGCGCCTGAAAAGTTTCCAAGCAGCTCATAGTATTGACTGCAGCTTTGAAATTTTCAGTCTAGCCTCCTCTAAAAATCAGAGTTCAGACATTTCAGCTAAAGGAGCAGCTGATGTAGATTTTTTTACACACTTCTCTCACATACTCACATACTTTGAGATATACTTCACTGTCAAACAATGAATGCTATGAAACAGAAAACAACCAATTTGTTTTTCCAGTCACACATCATAGCTCTGGCTGTTCCTTTTCCTCTGTGGAAGATTTCCACCTTCTTGTTAGCCTTAACTATGGCACCACACACTGCAACAGGAGAAGCAAAGAATACAAGCACCACAAAACAGCCTCAGATGCCCATCTTGCCTTTCCATCTCATCTACCTTTCCCTCCTGCCTTTGCATTTCACACTCTGATGAGCTTCACCAGATCAACCGTCCCTTTACACATGAATATCACCATTATATAATCTTCCTCTCATCTCCTCCTAGGTAAGAATCTAACCCTCCACACCTGGCAGGTTCCACATTGTTCTCATCACAAAGATTCCCAGGAAAGTACAGCTTCAACATGAAATCCATTTTTGTTTTCATCTTCAGAGAATGCTCTTCAAGTGTAACGATGCCCCTTTTTACTTGTCTTTTCCAAATATTTTCTGGGTTTGACCACAAACATGCACATAAGCCAGCTTATTTTAGTTTACTGATTTTCTTTTGAATATATTATTTTCGTTGCCCTTAATGCCCTACTAAAAGAGCAGCCAAAGGGATTTCTGTCCTCACTGTTTTTCAATCAAACCTGGGTGAAACTGAAACACTGTGTGTCCAGCCACTATCAGTGAGAAAGAACACTGGCTGCCTGCAACAAAGACAACTTACAATTTACTGTTTGGGTGCCATATGTTACTGCTTTTTAAATATCCTACCTGTCTGTGCCACCAGGTGGGTCCAGCCGCTCCAGACTGCTCCAATCTTTTCATGTGAGAAACACTGGGTGTCTATCTTCTTGGGCTCAGCAAGAAAAATGTCTCCGCTCACCAGCTGCCCATGTTTGTTGCTGCCCCAGACAAACAGGTGTCCTTCATCTACAAGACAGAGAAGTAAAATCTCTTTAAAGGGATGTAGATCTAATACCACCAGATTCAGGCTCTGTCTCAGTTCAGTGATGCTGAGGAAAGAACATATCATTCAATTTGTGTTCTCACGTTATGCTTTTCCCTACCATTCTTTACCATTCCAACTGGGATATCAGAAATATTTGCAAGGGCCTTAACAACATGGCCTATTTTCTGAAGGCTACACAGACTCCCTGAAGCAACTAGAGTTTTCAGGTCAAACTGCAGAGATGTTTATAACAAAGACTAATTCTTATTAAAAAACTAACCACAGTAGTCAATTTCTCTGAATAAAAGAAAATCAAAGCATCTTGGAGACATTCACTGAGCAGTCCCTCTCCATCCACCCTGTCCTTGCAGACCAGCTATTATTTCCACTCCAAAGCTTTGATTATATCCAGTAAATAACTTTATGGACTGCAGCAAATAATTCAAATTCTGGCTGGCTGCTTCTGCTCTGCTTTACAGTCTCCCAGCCTCTCTACAAGAACTAGACTCCCAGCTCTGCTCATACCAGTTCTGCCTCCTTCAGCTTGAACAAATTCAGTAAATCCCCCAAAGCAGGGACAGTCCAGTGCTCCTTGACTCACCTTGCACAGTCACTTCCTAAAGGAATTGGACATACAGTTACGAACACACTACTAAAACAGGCATCACCCATCACAAGGCAAAATTAAAACATTATCATGCCAGACAACACTTGAGACTTCCATAAGCACTCCCATGCCTTCTCCATCCCTTTTCTAGAACAAGCATTTGTTCAAATGCGCACTCCAGGATTCCAGCCACAGGGATGAATCTTTTTACAGAAATACCCACAGTACTTTATATCAATGCAAGCTGGAGTAGCTCACAGCCAACGGACATGGACACAGCGACTGCTCAGGTGAGTCCTTCTGCAGACATCACATAGCATTAGTTTCATCTTTTCAGGACAAAACCATTCCTCCCAAGTCCTAGGCCTCCACAGTGGAAAAAAAAACCACTTAAAGAGAACACATGGTGTCAGGCCTCCCTGAAGTCTTTGCCAGCCTGCACAAGCTGGAAGCGTAAGAAATAAATCTTGCACACATGATCTTGCACATTGTTGTGGGCCCAGAAAGACTGGAAGTCATGTAAGCTACATGGAATTTTTTGGAGCACACATCCACAACACTCGAGGCATCAGGATGTCTCAGGTCAGCACTGAACTCATTACAAGCACCATGGCAGAAGTAAATCTTTCTACGTAGAACTTCGGCTACAGGATATTTAATAATCTCAGTTTGGTAACAGCAACAGAAAGAGTAAGCCAGAAGAATTCCACTATATTACTGCTGTTGAAAAACAGGCAAGGAGTGGGAGTGGGTGCAGAAGCCAGTACTGGAAGTCATCTGCAGGACTTCCCATGTGCCTGTTTAAAACAACACAACTGAAAAGGGGAAAAAGTCAAGCAATTGTTTCTTTCAAATATTTGAATTCTCCACTAAGATTGATAAATTCTCCTTCCCAGCATGAAGTACACACACTCTCTAGAGAGAGGGGAGAAAAAAAATAAAATTAAAAACAGAGGTGACAGAAACACAACAAAGAAAAACAATGTGGCCATTCATAATCCACATTAGCATGCACTGCCTCTGTCACCTCCTTTTACAGAAGGTGTATTTGCTTTATCCTGGGAAAAGTCTCATGCTCGACCCTTATTTCTTGAGTAGGTTTGAACAGAAACTTAGACACTGAGACTTAGCATCATATTCTCACCCCTGGAGGGTTCAGGCCAGTTTGGATACCAGTAGACTCTACCATCCTTTTTTCCAAGATTATGTTTATGTTTATGTTTCCAAACATTATGTTTATAACAGCCCACATCAACAGCTGTATCCCAAACCTGCCTGGCTGTAGGTATTTGATATCCCATCAGCAGGTGACTCATGGAACAGAGGCAGAGAAAACTGCACCACAGTACAAGGCATTCCTAGAAAAAAAAGACCCATTTAAATATTACATCCTGCAGTAGTATATTTATTATACCAAGCATCTCAAAAATACAAAATATTTTAAGTAATAACTATCTTGCAGGACAAAGGGCATCAACAGCATCACATTATAGAAGTATGTGGCATTTATTTTGTCAGTCTTGTTCCACTGCTGCCAAATAGACCGCTCTCTTAAATAAAAAGTAAAAGCATGAAAGAATAATCTGTTCACTGTCTAAATAGAGAGTGCCAATTATCTAAAGTAGATTTTATTTGTTCTTACAGTTTGTCTTCACTAATCTTGCATACACTTTGCATCTCTGAACTCAATACAATTTACATCTTGGAACATCTCCCCGTACAACTAAATCTCTATAGATCTGCATAAGCAAATACTCCAATGCTCCTTTAATGATGACAGAGGTACCAGATGGCTGCAGATTTGCTAAGAACTTGTTCCTGTGAAGTTTGGCAAAGACTTGTCTTCATAAGGTTCAATATATTTTACACACTTCAAAACTGTAAGATTACAACATGAAAGCTATTCTGTTTCCCCTTCTCCCAATCTGTCAAAATAAAAAGAAATCTTTATTAGACTTTCATTACTGGATACCCAGTACTCCAGTATGGGAGCACTGCCTGAGGATCAAAGAACAAATGGCAGATATTATGGAAGTGCCTAACCAATTACAGCAACTTTCTACTCTTCAAATAAACTTCGTGCCCTTACACCACACATCTGCACACTGTCACAGTGGAGCCTAAGATAGCTCCAGGCCTTTTCACACCCCTGCACTGCCCCACACAGAGGCATTAGGTCACCTTGCTGTGGCTACCTTCTGCTGCCTTTCTGCTTTTCTTTCTTTCTGCTGCCTTTCCTGGGACAGCCACCCAGCACACTCTTCTCCGTGGGCAAAGGGTTGCACTGCTTCCAGCAGTAACCAGTTACCCCTAGAGGGCATCCTGCTGCAGCTCCAGAGACTTACAAATCCTTACAGAGTTTCTAGCCATTAAGAGTCCAGGCCCTGAATTACATAAGGCTAAGATCCCACCTTAGAAAGGACACACAAAGAAAAACACACAAAATTCAGAGAACTCGAAACGTGAGTCCAGCTCTTAAAACAAAAGGAAAGTTCTCAGAGGGCAAAACTGTTACAAAACAATTACGAGCACTAACTAGGGCAGATCAAATTTCACCGATTTTACCAAACCTGACAACATTTCAAAAGCAGAGAAAGCTTTGAAGGGTGAATTGGGGACTTTCACCTCTGCACCTGAGGCCTACCTGTGAGGGACACGGAATGATAGGAGCCTGCAGCAACTTCCTTCACATTTACATCTTCCAGGCCTAGAAAAAACATAGTCACAATAAAATTTCTACAGCAGGTATCAATTCACACACAAACATGCATAAAAGTGTAACAGGATGGTGATGACTTTTATAATAAAAGGCTCTGCCTTTGCGCCACAGACATGGCAGGACTCTCATTTTCCCCACAGATCATGATTTTCTATAACCATTCTATCCTTCAGTAACTGCACTACATGTTTGCAGTACCACATGGCCATATAAAAAGGAAGATTCATAACACTCCAAATTATATTTCTGCTCTATCAACCCACACAAAGGAAGCAGATTTCTGGATTACCTGCCACTTCACAGGGCTCCTTTGCTGTCAAGAACAGAGGGAGGGCTTTTCCTTGGCTTGCACGCTTTGCCTGAGATGCCATCCCAGTTCCCCACTGCAGCACCAAACCACTGTCTTTTCAGAGTAAACACAAAGAAAAGAGATTAAAACAAATCAACCACCAACAAAAACCATTCCACATGTTAATGAACAGTCATTCATCCAAGTAATTTTCACTGACTTAAATTACACTTTAAAAGACCTTTATGCCAAAAAACATTCAGATAACCCTGGTGAAGTCAACAAGCAACAGTCTCAGTCTACATGTAAGAAAACTAAGAAGGTAGGAAGCTATTAGAGACTCAGTAGGAGAAATCCTGTGGTTGCAGTACCTCAGGAAAGGATACAAAGTTCTTGTCATTCCTGTACTTTCTCTTCCCCCCTTTCCCTCTCTTGATGTCAATTTGTTTGGCAGTGCAGCAAAGGGAATCTCAATTCCTACTGCTCACACAAGCACCAGAGATCCCACTGTTCTTCCAAGTATCTCCTGTGCACCCTCAGCACCACTACCTGGAACCCATACTGAGGTTCACACAAAACTAAACCAAATACAAGAGCAGGTATAGTTTGTTTTTCCTCAGGAAAAAGGAAGGGTTTGATTTCTACTGTTACACCATGAAAAAGTCAGAGTCTCTAATTACAGCAGGAGAAATTTTTAGTTTCATTCTTGTGATTTTCCAGGTGTAAATTTCAATTACATCATTCAAAAAGACAAAGTTTATGTGCAGCTCCATTTTGAAGTATCTTATAAAAACTTAAATTACTTTGCATACTATAATGAGTTCAAATCCTAAAATACATTGATTGACCAGAAACTCTTTTTCCTGAAAAAAAATCCTTTTATGTTTTGTTTCAGAATAAGAAAAAAGAAATCAGTACATTTTCCATCCATCAGAAAATTAACATGTTAATAAACTATCACTCTGAATTCTTGGAAGAAGTTTTTCCTCATGATTTTCCGGGAAGATGGTTCTAGAATGTTTACTATTCATGCTAATTTGTCCCAAAGTCTTACAGTCCATGACTTTAAGGTGTATTTTCCCCGTGATATTTGAAATAAATAGTAGATTAGATAAATTTCATCTTTTCCTTCCTCTCCTCCTCCAAGACATTAAAATCCCATTTCATTTGTTACTGAAAATATGTTAAAATTATGACATACTTACCTGTAGCAGCAAGGGCGTGTCTCAGTCCTGCAGCAATATGCACCACCTTCTCTTTGAGAGACTACACAAAAAAAGAAAATTATAATTTAGTTGCTTTTTGCATTTTGTGCCTCTGAAAACAAAACAGGCCAAGAAGAAGTGGAACACTACAAAAATAGTGCTCACAATTCCAACCTGCATGTCCCAAAGCATATCACCATTTTGTATCACAAAGTAAATTTTGACCAATAAAAGTTAGTGGGAACATCTTCAAGAAATAAAAAATAAGTCAGCCAAGCAACTGGATGCACAGCGTTTTAGCAATAAATAAAAAAACACAGTCAAAATATCCATCTGAAAAAAGAAATGTTGGTGATACAAATATGTTTATTTCTCAGTCTTAACTCAGTGTTCCTCAAGAATTACATCAAAACATCCACAGTAAATTCTGGTGGTTAGCAAGTACTATGTTGCATTGGCAACCTGTCCAGTCTTGCCAAGTTACTGATGGAATTTTGTTTTCCACTGAGAAAACCTGGAAGTTTCCCTCCACAGCAATAGACCTCAGGAACAATGTGAAGTTTCCCCCTTCTGTTATCTCCCATCCCATCCTGTCTTGCTCTTAGCAGGGTTTTGCAGACCCTCTGGATACCTATCCTTGGTGGAAAAGCAGCAGGTGTATTTAAAATAGGTGGCATCAAGCCCAAGAATTTAAGGGATACCAACCAAAAGAACAAATATTCAGCATGAATAGTTTGTTTGGTGAGGGATGAGAAAGATTCACATCAGCACTGTCATTACTACCAAACTTTAAGACACCATATTGCAGTCGATGCTCTCAGGAAACATCAAGGGTACAGAAACATCAAGTGAACTAACTCCTACTCACTAGAGGTCACCTAAGGAATCAGCTGCCCTCCTTCTCCTACACTGAAAAAAACAACAAAGGAATATCTGGCATGAGCCATGATACTAAATAATTTCTTGTCTGCGAAGTGAAAGAGTCATCTTTCTCTTAGAAGTGGGAAACTTCTTCATACAGCAAGAAAAGCAGCCTTAGCCTTTCAATTCACCTTTGGGCCTTTACTTTATAAGCTTATCTGTAGAAGATAGGCACTATAAAAAATTAGCTAAAGAGTCTGGCTTAAAGCCCATTGAGGTCAGATGACCTCTGTAAATTGCTGGAAGCAATAAAAAGCACACCACCTTCTAAACCTTTACCTCAATCTTTTGTGGAATCAAGCATGGGCCTGAAATTTGAGGAAGTCCCAGTTGTCCAAAGGAGTTTGACCCACAGGACAGCACGAGGCCAGATCCTGCAAAAAGTGTTAGAGCAGGATCAGTAAACCCATGAGCAATAGCACTGTAACATTATAACAAGCACAATAATACAGCCAAGTAGCTCAAGAAATGACCTTACATGTCCCCAAAGCCCCTGAGGCCAAAGGCTTCTGGGCTCACACACCATGTCCAGAAAAGGTATCAAGCTCAGTGGGACACAAACAGAGAGTGATTTAGCATGCAAGGCAAGTAGCTTAAAACCTGTGAGTGCCAGCACATAGAAGCATAGAACAGTTTGGGTTGGGAGGTACATAAAGATCATCCATTTCCAACCCCCCTGCCATGGGCAGGGACACCTTACCCTATCTCAGGTTGCTCAGAGGCCCATCCAACTTGGCCTTTGACACTGCCAGGGATGGGGCATTCACAGCTTCTCAGGCAACCTGTTTCAGTGCCTCACCAGGAAAGAGATTCTTCCTAGTAACTAACCTAATCCTGTCCTCTTTCAGTTTAAAGCCTTCACCCTTTGTCCTATCACTACAAGCCTTTGTAAAAAGTTCCTCCATAGCTGTCCTGTGGTTCCTTTAAGGTTCTGAAAGGTCATTCCTATCACAGATGTCCCAGGGCAGGTGCAGCCTGCAGTTTATGATGGGGCTGTGCTGCTTTGTGACCACAATGCACCACCATACAATACAAGGCAGCATAATTACAGGGGTAGTAGTTCCTTCATCAAATCTATGTCTGACGTGCAAAATACAGAAAATCATGGCCTCAGTTATGCCACTTTTAATCAAAGTAGGTAGCACCTTACTATTCACTCTGTTCCACTGAGGTCAGAGGGATTTCTCATCTGGATGGGACTACTCAAGTAAGGTATTACTAAGATTGATTATGGATGTCATGCTTGGGTACTTGATAATGAGCTGCAAACAAGTTCTGAATCCATTACTCTTAGAGAATTTTTGAATGTGATTATCAGTAGCATTTGCTATAAAGTGAAAGCCATCTTTCAAATATGTCATGTTTCAGAGAACAGCTAAATCCTGAATTCATGGCTAAATCCTGAATTCATGGCTAAATCCTGAATTCCATATAAGGCTAAGAGAATTTGTCCAGGGTTAGGACCTTCTCCATGCTGAATAGCCCCAACTCTCTCAGTCTTTGATCATAGGAGAGGTGCTACATCCCTCTGATCATCTCTGGACTCACCCCAGCAGGTCCCTGTCCTTCCTGTGCTGGGACCCCAGAGCTGATGCAGCACTCCAGGTGGGGTCTCACCAGAGCAGAGGGGCAGAATCCCCTCCTTGTCCTGCTGCCCACGGGGCTCTGGGTGCAGCCCAGGGCACATTTGGCTCTCTGGGCTGGGAGTGCCCATGGCTGGGTCATGTCCAGCCTCTCACCCACAGCACCTCCAAGCCCTTCTGGGCAGGGCTGCTCTCCATCCCTTCATCCCCAGCCTCTGTTGATACCGGGAGCTGTCCTGACTCAGGTGTAGCATCTTGCACTTGACCTTGTTGATTTTCCTGAGGTTCCCGTGGACCTCTTCTCAAACTTGTCCAGATCCCTCAAATCACACAAGCAATAGCATTTTGGAACTTTCAGCATGTTTGCTACATCAAGATATTTCTTCAGCTCTTAGAGAGATAGATTTACCTACTAATATGATTGTAAAATCCCAGCCACATGCAACTTGTTTCACACAAAAGCCAGACAGGGCAGTGCACAAAGTAAAACAGAGTACATCCTCTGTGTGATTCAATCCCAACTGCCCATTTTTGTTGTGGCCACATACAAAGAGTTGTCCTGTACCTGGAAGAAAAAAAAACAAAAACAAAACCAAATTGCATTCCACTTCACAGACTAAAAAGAGAAACCTACATGTGTTAGATCCTGTGACAAACAAGGACAGTGATTGTGTGTCATTTTAGGCACTGCAATCAAATAAAAAGTAAGAGAAACAGTTGTTTCTGATGCATCAGAAACACCTCTGAGTAACCAGCTATGGAGAGCTGGGTCTGTCAAGGGAGACAATGTGTATGGTAAGATAGGCACCTCTCACACTAAGATGCTTGATAAAGCATCTTATCAATTAAGATAACACTTATCATTTAAGATAAACTTTTTTAGCATGTCCACATCTGTCTGTATTCCTTCTTTACCACAATTAGCTGTGCCATATAGCAGAACCCTTCAAGGGCCAGATGTTATGTCCTAGTCCTTACCTTAACACTTCTTAAGATTGAATAACCTCTGAGTCCCCCTTCCCACTCCCCATCCTCAATACAGAAAATTTAGCTTCTCTGTACAAAAGAAACAGCTGAAGAAACAGTCCTCACACTGCCACAAAGTGACCACACAATATATAAGCAACAGGAATTTCTCCAAATATTGAGTTAACAGGGAGTAGAGGCAGGTGATTTGCAACTAAGGATTGTACTTGCTCAGAAACAGCAGCCACAGAGAGGTGGCAGCACAGAACCAACAGGGAAGCACACCAAAAAAAAAAAAAATATTAAAAGCCAAACACCCCGAGCAAGAGCTGTGTTTTTACCAGTGATAACTGCAGAATGTCCCCCTCCTCCAGCAATGCTTACAACGTCTTGACATTTGCAGGAAACACCTTTCAAGGCCTGAGGAACCAGCACATCCTCTTTATGACCAAGACCAAGTTGTCCATAGCTGTTTGCACCCTTCAAAAGCACACAGAAAAATAACACTTTTTTTTTGAAAGTTAACAAAAGAAGCACACATATGCTCCCAGTGACAAACAAGCATATTTGGGATATGCCACGGGTTAACCTGCTCCTAAAAATCCCCTGATTCCCAGGATTACGGACCAGGAGTGTCCCAACTTCGCTATAGTTAAGGGTGTCTGTGCAGCCCCGGTATTTTAATACAACCCGTTAGGACTTTAACTGCAGGCTCACAGTTAATAAGAAGGAAAACCTTTCTATCAGGATGATTACCACATGTTTAATTATAATGCTAATGATTCCCATTCATCACTAAGATCTTTTTCATGCCACTGCTTTCTGGCAGGCTACCTCCAAAATGAGAGCAGAAAGACATGCTACCTTGTTCTGGAACCTAAACAAGTAAATCAGAAACATTTACTAAGTGTTTATTAAGTGTTTTATATTAAGAGATCCAAATGAAAATATAGCAATTATAGGCAGTATAAATTAACAGGTATAAAACTATAGCTACTAAACATAGCATGGAAAGCAGAAATTGCCAGAATGGTAACAAGTCAGGGAATTTCTTAGTCAACTTCAGCTCTGCGTCCAACAGTTCAACTTTCAGTCACAAAAAGAGATACCATAACCTTCCCCATCCCACACGGCGCAGTAACAGCAACACTCCACACCCACAGTGTTCCCAGCTAGTGATCCCTGGGAAATACTTTCGCTACTTCGCCCGTGCTTCCCCTGCCCATCTGCTCTCAATTTTCCCTCCACCTCTCCCGAAATTAAATCAATAAAAGGCCGCATTCAGCGCCACACGTTTCGCAGCCACAGAAACACGGCCGCTTCACGCAGGCTCGCCAGGCCGCTCGGCCCAGCCCAGAGCCAGCGGGTGGATGAGCTGCGACATCCAGGCGCTGTCCCACAGCCACAGCTGCTGGGGGATAGGCGCTTTAGAGCGTGGTACTGCCGTACAGCCGTAATTATTTTTAAAAAGACGTGTCACAACCTCCCGTTTTAGCCTGTAACTGGCAGTGAATTTTCAAGCCTTCAAAACCAGGCAAGCCGCGATAAGGCGCAGAAGGACCCGAGGGGCCGAGAGCCACACGCGGCTATCCCAGCGCCAGCACCGCTCCAGCCGCCCTGCCCGGGCGGGCGAGCCGGCACCAACTATGGCCCCGCGGAGCAAATGGGGCTGCCCAGCGTGAGGGATGTCCCTCCCGCGGCTCTCAGACCCGCTGTGCCCACCAGGTGAACCGCGGCGTTGTTTCCCTGCGGGGCGGGGACACCGCGGCCCCGCTCCCCCGGGCCGAGCGCCACAGCATCCCGGGAGGGCGAGCAGCGGCTCTGCCACCCTCCCGCCCCCGGACAGCAGGAGATCCCGGCCCCCCGGGCCGTGCCGAGGGCCCACTCACCCAGGCGAACAGCTGGGGCTCCA